CCTGCTCGCTCCAGCTCTGCCGGCTGAAAGCAGGTTTCTGGGGATGGTTTAGCTTCTATAATTGCAACGTAGTTGCTTAGAGTTGCAGCTCAGAGGCTGGCAGTGGCAGGCGGGGAACCTTTGCTTCCTCCTTCACTGGAGCAAGCAAGCCTCCTGTTCGCTTCAGCGGCCTGGCTGCCATCTTGTTTGGCAGTTAATTTGCATATCTCGCTGATCAGCCAATATAAGGGTAGCGAAGTTATGGCTAATTACCATGTTTCTCTATTATTAGATAGAATGAGACCTAATACTTTTGAGTACTTCCCATTCAAGCAATGTACTTAGTACTTTGCTTGTTTTAATGTAGGCACAGTGTAGTTCTGTGAGGTGCAGACCCACAGGTGAGAAAACGAGGCATAGAGATGACTGCACAGAGGCAGCAGTTACAGCAGTTAGTAAATCCTCTTATTTTGGTACCTGCTTTGTTTCCCTATGTGATGCCCACATGCTGGGACTCTGGTATGCGGTACCCTGGTGGTTTTTTCTTCCCCAGCTTGGGTGGGTCGCATGTGGGTGCTGAACCCCCCCTCCCCAGGCTGGCCTGAACATTGTACCCTTTATATTGTCACTAATTGATAGTCTTCCGGAGTCCTCCCTCCCGCTCACTTGCATTGGCCCCTGTGGGCCCCTCATAGACTGGCCCACTTCTAGGCTTTTAGAAGGATCTGGCGCCAGCCTAACTCAGGACGTGCTGAACGCAGAACTGAAGAAGCTGTCCGAAGGTCTGCCCGGCACCAAGCACAGTAACGTGATGAAACTCCTCCGAGTGGCCCTCAGTGGACAGCCGGTGAGGCGGGCAGATGGGCTGGACTGTTCTCGGGAGCCCTCACTTACGCATTCAGCTAACATTCACCAGCAGCACTGAGCTCATCTTTCATACAACAATGAGTGAAACATGAGCACTCCCCTCACCCATTCATTCAGCAGCACCTGTTGAGTGCCTACTGTGCCAGTGCCACTATGTAAAGAGGATACAGTAGTGAATCAAACACACACACTCCCTCCCGTCATCCTTCACGGAGCTGGCAGTTGATTGGAGGTAACAGACATGTCAATACAGGAAGAAGAGGCTCCGGGGATGCAGCCTCAGCCTCAGAAATCAAAGACAGTGAAGTGCAGTCCCTGCCCTGGGGGA